AATTATATGAGTCGTCATTGTCAACAATATTGTTTATTATAAGAGCAGCTTTCGAAGGCAAAATAGATTACTAATAATTTAAAATTAAAAAAAAAAAACGTTTTAAATTTCTGTTTTTCAGTTCTTAAAATGTTAATTCTATTTTTTAAATTTTAAGTTATTAGTAATCTATTTATCCTAATTTTGTTTTCCTGTTTTTATTTTTTTTTCATTTAAGGTTGCATCAACTTCTAGGTCATTAGGGACCACCATTGCGTGTAACAGTATGGTAACTATGACACGACATGATGATGATTGGGGGTGAAAGGACGAACACAATACAACCATGCCCGAGGCGGGACTTGAACCAGCGATCCTTCGGTCCGAGATCGCTACGGCACTACTGCCTTAGCAATCTCGGCCATCCGAGCCGGCTAATTTTTTTAGTCACTTTTTAATATGTTTTTACATTTCTTGTACTAGAGAAGTGACGATGATGGCTAAGTCATCGAAAGTTGCTCTTATAATAAACAATATTGTTGGCAATGACGACTCATATAATTGTTTTCATTTTTGATGATTCTTTGTTAGGTATCGTATTAATATTAGTTTTCCATGTTTATCTTATCGAAATTTATTTATTATTTATTTATTATCGATCTTTCGAATATTGGAAAAGTTTAACATTTTTTCGCAATCTTCCTACCACTACGGTATTTCAGATAGATATTCCGTTGCTCAAAGACAGATTTTGATATTAGGTAATGTACAATTTTTGAAAAATATGAGTAGTTATCGCGTAAGTTTGCATGTAGTAAATTTAAATATTTTAAAAATGTTTTAAACAATTATTTCGAGCTCACTTTAAATTTTCTCCTCATAAGTATCGATGGTTTGAAAAAAAGAGAATGATAGTCTCATTTACGGCGAAGACTGTATTTTTGAAAATTTCTAAGTATTGCAAAAAGTTAAGATTTTAAAATTACTGATTTGAATGCAGACATTTTTTCTAAATGAATGTGTTTTTGTTAAGACTCGGTCTACTGAGTTTGTTTCATTTCACCTTTTTATGGTAACAAGATGGCTGCTAAGTGGTTCTCGAAACTGCGTTCAAACGTAGTTACAATGTTAATCGTTGCATCCTTTTGTACCATCCAACGGTGGTGCACTTAGTGGCACTCATTTGTAGTGAAAACTGCAGATTTAGTAGTCCAATTCCACAGATTCACACCACAGCAGCGTGTAAACATGCAATGTCATCTACATTACCCACCAGGACGACGCGTCGGATATCGCTCGTTGCCGCTGCAATGCCAGCTCTTACTCGATGCTCACTGAGGGGCAAGTACATGTCACAATACGTCTCAATTGAGGGACATTCCATAGTTTATGGCATATAGAAAACTGAACACAAGTGTCGTTCTTTCCTGTTAGCGTGCAGCGTATCCTTTTATACCGATTAGACGTGGCGTATCGATACTATGAATTCTTTTTATAAATACAGTGACGTTTAATATTTAATGGAAGGTATAGAAACAATTTCCATATTAAACACATAATGCGAAAGTTAAATGATGTCTTTGTTTTCCACAAGATTCATGAGCCTACTTCAGGGGTCGTGGAGGTTCTCACTGCAAGTTCACGTCATAGCGTCAAGCGGTGGTCGTTCGGAAAAGGTACATTTGAAAAACGAACGAACGTAGCGCGACTTGCACACCTCTCCGCGTGTGTTGGAGTGTGTTAAGTGCGCCGAATGGAAGTGACAAAGTGTGAGCGTGTCTGTGTGACCGTGCTTCCGTCCTGTTAAAGCTCTTAATTTCATGAAATTCTTTCATGTTTTTCGGTAGACGTAGTGTCCTTAGGTTGAACTCCTTTCACTGCCATGTTAGATTATTTCGAAAACAAAGGCAAAGGCATTGCAATGTGACTCAAATGATATAAAACCTCAATGTTTCCTATTTCTCCCTTAGCTGTCACAACGTCAATACTTCTGTAGTTACATGAATACAGTACCTTGAGAAACTGCAGTGTACTCGTTAATTCTTCATTTCTTAGTACCTCTGAAAACGTACTTGAAGTAATTGCTAAGACCCGTAAACTGGCGCCATATAGCAGCAGAGCGACATTCGAAGTGGTTAAATGAATTAGAAACAACGACAGGAGGACAGTTAGTTAAAATGATCGTGGAACATAGTACCCATACATAATTGCGAATATCTTCGTAAAGAGATTTCTTAAAAAAAAACTGTAAAGCCAAAGTGTTGTTTGAAACACGTAGAATAGGATTTCGGAGTTTTTTGGCCTGATCTAAGACAGCTGCTGATACGTTTAATGGCTCTAACGTCAAACCAATATTAACAAATCGGGTGTCAAAGGAAAGAGACTTTCACGGCACGGCGACAAATTGCATTTTCACTTACAAATATTAATATTTCAAAGTTATGTGATAAATGGTACCTGTATATTTGTCTTTTACAAAAGTATAATTTAATCACAAGTATCCTTAATTATTTCGAAAGAATGGAAAATCAAATTATTTCCGAAGAAAGTTTATTTATTCATGATAGGCGTTAAATAAGATGCAACACGATTCGCTTTTCATACTAGATATTGCATCATGAGGTGTAAACAATCCAAGTCGAGTCTGTAATTGAAATATAAAGAATTGGAACAATGGAATTGGAATACAAAATTTTCTTTTATATTTCAATTCCAGACTCCACTTGATTTTCTGCACCAGATGATGCATACAATATGTACACTGAATGTTGTATTGCATCTCATTTAATGCCTTACATGTATAAATAAACTTTTTCTGAAATAATTTGGTCTTTGTATGCCTCTACATAACTAAGGATACTCGAGTGTAGTTTATACTTAAAATTAATATTCTTTGAAAAACGCGCCTAATTATGAAGGTGCGTATGCAAACCCGCAATACTCGACCCTCTTAATGGCGTGTTTCTTGGCAGCGACTGCGCATACAACTTCTGAAGCGTTTTAGGGACATAACACCTGGCTAAATTTTCGGGTTATATATCGGGTCACATCATTCACAGAGAGATCATTCTATTCCTTTTACATTTTTGGTACTTTCGCTCTGGCGGGCCCTCATTTCGCTGTTTTGACAAAATGACGAGGTAAAAATGATAGTTTTCGTAGCTAAGTAAAGAGAAGCTTTCAAGAAACACGTAGATGGCAATTGCTTATTATTCATTATTTTTGTTTTATCCAAAATGTATCTAACAGTGTATGGTTTTTTTCTCCAAAATATCTCGACGTACCTCAGGTAGGACTACAGTAAACACGAAATAAACAATCGCCAGCTGAATTTTATATAATTTGGCGTGAGAGATGACTGGATTACTAACCGGACGATCTCTATTCATATCCAAGAAAAAAGAAAAAAATATTTTGCCTCTGGACGTGTGCAAGATTGCTTCATTGGTCATTTCAGAAACGGGGGTAGTGGCTGTGTAGGCGTCAGAAGGGGACAGGGTAGCGGGCCCACCCTCGGTACCCTGAGCCTTGAAGCTGGACCCGACCTCGCACCTACCGAGGGAGCCGAGTCTACTTGGGTGGGGAGGCTCCCTCCAAGAGGGCCTCATCTGCTAAGAAAGCCCCAACGAAGAAAAACCCATTTAATGAAGGGATTTCTTTTATTATTTCGTTTTACTTTTTCGCACTTACTTCCTAAGAAAAGAAAATTATGTAATCGTGCGCCAGAAAACGGCAGAAAAGCTCTTATTGACGCCCCCCCTTGATACCAAAAAAATCGACTGACAACAAAACTTCTGTCTGTCCATCTGTGGCCAACGGTAGAGCCTAAACCGTTCAGCCGATTTTCCCCAAAAATGATATCCTCCGATCGACCTCAACGAACTCGAAGCTTTGGAAGTTTCAAACGGATATTTTTATTTCTGAGACCACTTTACATGAAGACAAAAAATCCTCAAAACTGGCTGCAAATTTGATTTTACTGTCCACGAATAGCGTAAAGTACGCTTAAGAGAATGGTGCAAGTATCATATTTGTTGTAAACCCTTGCTTTTCGAAAATTGCAAAAGGACATTTTTTCGGCGTTATTCCTACAACTACAATATTAAAGATAGAGATTTTTTCTTTAATAGAATCTGTCCCTTAATACAGATCTTGAAATAAGTTCATGTTCAACTTTTCAAAATATGAGTAGTTTTCGCGTACTTTTGCGCAAAATATAGGCAATTTTTTGACTTTTTAAATTTTTTTCTCTTAAAGGACATCAATTTTTTTCTTTAAATTTTCTTCTCGTATTTATCAAGGCACGGTAAAAAATATGGCGCTAGTTCCATTTTTGAAAATTGTAAATAGTTAAAATTTCAAAAATGCAAAATTAAAGGTGGAGATTTTTGTCTTAGATACGGTTTCTTTTAAAAACCAGCTCTTTGAAAAAAGGTCATTACTTTTCTTCGCGTATAGGGCAGTTTTCCCGTATTTTGTACTTGTACTTGTACTTCATATTCTCTTCTCAGTGCAATTTGAGAGGTTCACTCATTGTTGTTCATAGTAGTTATGTGAACTGTTGGCGATTCTGTTAAGCAAGGAAACTTATGCGATTTTTATTTTGATAGACACATATTTGCTAAAGATACTAAATTGCGATAGATACAATTCAAAAGTGGAAATTCAAGTTTAAGAATGCCCTAGTCAGCAAATATCTTGCATTCAAAGTGTGAACGGTGTACCGGATCTGAATGCAAAGTTTGTGTATCTAGAAACTACGTCTCTATTGCAAATAAAAGTCTGTTTCAAATAAAGATTCATTAGTTTTTGCATGTATCAGTACATTACACAGAATACATCCATAAAAATACAATGTAATTTGTACACACTACGTGTCACGTATTATATACTGTTATTGAAAGTATTATGCACTGTCCTCTTTTTTCACCGAATGTCCTCCATTTTTTACAGTCTTTGTCCCCCTATTCATCGATGAGCATCTGGTCACCCCATCAGTGTGCGAGGCCGCTTCCACTCACCTCTGGGTGTTCAAGCAGCAAATGGACACCGTGGAGAGGCAGACGCTCTGTTGCTCGGGCGGCACGCCGGCCACGGGGGCTGGGAAGACGGCGCAGGGCTGGCCGGGGCTGTCCAGGGCCCAGCGGGTGCCCAGGCCGCAGCAGCGGGAGAACGTCGGCTCCAGGTCACCTGCGGACAGCCACGGACACAGAGGGAGGGTGATGTAAAAACATCCATGTATCTGTTTTGTTGTATTTGCTTGGTGTCCAAGGAAAGCACACAATTCGAAAATAATTTTTTTTTCTAGTGCGTACGTAAAGAAAAAGAATTGTGAGGTTGTGGGGGAAAGTGACGATTTTTCGATAGAAAAACTCGTATTGAGGGGCCCTGACATCGAAAAAGTAGATAAATCTTGTGACTATATGTAATAAATTAGGTTCCTCTCTAATACGTTTCGTAGTGACAATCGACGTTTTGTGGGGAATTGATACTGCAAATAGGTTTACGGCAAAATGTTTTCCTGTCTGACCGTTTGACTGTCAAACTACGGTCCACACTATTACACAAAACATTCAGATAATTTATCGAACTCTTACATCCCCCAATCGATCAAGCCAAAACTGAGGTCTTGCGAATTTGAAGAGGATATTTTGATTTTTGCGGGTAATTTACGTGAAGCTCACATATTACATCCCTTGGTTTATTTAATAGTAGGCCTGAGTAATTTAACTAAGTGAATAACTAAAATCGACTAGAGAATCACGTATTTTTGCCAGTAAAGTTTCATAAAGTTGGTTCCCAATACAGCAAGTATATAGAGTAAAACATTTTTGGTTTTATCTGCGAAATACACGACTTCGTTCAGGAAAGTCTGTTCTCTTGCATATTACCATTTTAGATGTGTCACTTTCCTTTGTACCAACAATTCAACAATGTTTGAAGACCCGGACCGAAATGTTTTTTGTATCAAATATAATATAGTGACCTGCAGCAGCAATAATGCTACTCAACAAACCACACAATATGTCTTTGCACTAAGTAGCATGCAAACTGCTCCAGAATAATAAACAAAATACAATCGTATAGCAATGAAATAATAGAAATAATTTAACAAGAAGTCTCCACGAATACTGCAATAACATAGTATAGTGTACATAAGTCCATTACACACTAATATATTGTATAGTAACAGTTCTTTACATACCAAGAATGGAAAACATTGGTGCATCCATAACGTACGTAAATACCAAATATTTAATGGCGAGCGGCCTCTTCCTTGGAGCCTTGCTTCCGTATTACAGCTGCGTCTTAAGAAGTTATTTATGGTATGGGATATTTTGCGGAGACCAGACAATTGGCCAAAGTACTGCAGGTATGTAATTCAATACAGACTTTCCTTGAAGGTTGCTTGAAAGCTTCCCTGTCTGACGCGAGTTTAGGAAGACTTCTTCGAGCGGGCGCGCCCCGTGGACGTCCCCTTAAGCGCCTGGATGTAAGTCTCACTTCCTCCGCCAGATGTCAGTCTCAGTTAACTGTCCGAGCTTTCTGGTTGGGAGTAAGTAAGATCTCGTTAGAACGGGAAATTACCGGAGGAGTTTAATTTTGCGAGGCATCTGCCAGGGTTCTTTTACATGCCACAGGTATGCTATAGCCACTGTGGGATGTCCCGCCCCTCGAAAATCGATGCGCGTCAGCCGGGATCGAACCCGCGCACAAGGGATTTACTAGACCCCTTCACATGGCCGAAGGCTGCATAGTTTCCTTTCAATTACCGCGCGTATCAGAATATAGATATCCGATTCACGTAGATGTCCGTATTTTTCAAAAAATACTACAGAAAAAGAAATTTAAAGTTAATGTGAGGTGAAATATGAACTTTCACACTCTAACACACGGGTATACCGCATTGGGAGCTCTCATCTTGGAGATTTTGAGACTTCTGAATTTGAAGCATTTAGGCACTTGTGCAACCCTTCCCAAAAACTCAACTTAAATCATAGCTCCAAAGTCTCCAGATTGAAGCCTGATATGTCTGAATTGACTATGCACTAAAATTGATTTTAATTTTTAAATGAATTTCATAGTTTTTTATCTTTTATATTCGTGTCGACCCATCGCAGGAGAAATGGTGCATCGGGGCCGCGCAACTTGGCGTTCCCTTACGAGTGACGGTATATGTCGTTATCTCCTTGATCAATGGGGGAATGGGCCATACGAGAACGAGAGATGAGCATCGCTTGGTCGTAAGGATGGGGACTTTATTTTGATTCATTTTGACATTAAGCAGTGAAAACGTATGTACCGTATGGGGGAGAATTACAATTTGCGCACGTTTACTTGAGCTCTGGAATCTCTTGTCCACCTCCTAGGCATAAGTAGTTGAATAATAAAAAAAAAGTGCCGACAAAGCGAGGTTAGTAACATTTGAAAATATACTTTTTTGCTACCGAGTTATAAAAAACGTATTTGCTTCAATAAAAGAACTACAGATTTGAGTTGTTAGTATGTCCAACAAAATGGTAGTCTTAGGTGGTCTACCCATACCTGGCTGTATTACTACCACAACTGGCAAAAGAAGTATTAACCGAAAACTGAGCATAGTGAAGCTACATTTATGTTCAGAAGCAAAACAAGAGGTCATCTCATCATTCGGTCAGTGGATCAGGGAAACTGGTCGAAACCCGATCGAAATAGTGCTCACTAACCCAGAAGCTGAAGTACAATACTTGTTACAGATGAGATATTATTAAAATTATATAATACAAATGTAGAGTAATGCATTATATAGCACTGTTAAAATATATTTATTTTCCGTTTTGGTCAGTGTAGTCTCTAATTGTACAGAAATAGTTACGCAGTCGAAAATATTTTACTTTGAACTTAAATTTGTGTATCGATTTTAATTAATCGTGGTCTGGCTAGCTTACGTGACTGCTCATGCTGTGCTATAATATTTTACTCAATTTTTACTACTTTTCTATATCTTTCAGGTACCTTTTTGTTGTTAAATTGTTTTCTTTACTTGTTACAGATAAGCTGAAAAGATATTTATATTGTCCCTGCAGTGAAAAAGAAGTAATTGGTTTAAAAACTGTGTAACGAACAAACTTGTATTTGAACGTGTATATAGACTTCCAAAAACTATTTGCTCTATAAAGTAATTCAGATTTTTTATAAAGTAATTTAAAAAGTTTTAAAGTATTAGTGAAAGTGTTGTGTAAATTGTGAGAAATATCAAACTTCAAAGTTTCGTCTATAACAGTAACGGAAAAACTTGAACTTTGTATTTCAAATTGTCGAATATAAAAGTGGTGAATTTCGTGAACTCACAATAGGTAAAGTATTGTGTTCTAATTGAATTAATTAGTTTGCAGCTTAGATCTATTACTTTCAAAACATTGATATTCTTGCGTATTAAATTAATCAGTCACATCACATCAATCATACTAATTAGAATCACATACAATACAATTAGAATAGAACACAATAGTATTTTTCAAATAAATACGTGACTTCAATTAAATAATTTAACACACTTCAATTAAAAGGATATTGGTTTATGGGATACTTTCTACATTAGTTTGATTTCTTATCTATTTATTTATTCCCATATTTACCTTGATACGCATACTTTGATACGCATTCGTGACGTGGCTACTATTCGCTATAAAGTTTCTACTCTATACACTCTCAAAGCCGACCTTCTGAAATCCTTCACACATATAAACAATAATTTATATGAACATATTCGAAGGCTCGAAGAGGTCGTTCAAAACACAGACGGTTGGACAACAATAGGCAACACTGCAGAAACTTCCAAACGTCCATCCGCGAAAGCAAAAACACAATCACCACTACCAATTACGACTGAAAACAGATTTTCTGTTTTACATTATGACAATGAGTTTCCTTGCCTTCCCGATCCTCACTACCCCCTCCCATCATCGACACGCCCACCCGCAAACCAACGCAAACAGGCTAGCAAGCGCAAAGGAACAAACAAACACACGTAGAGTTGCGCAACCTGGCCCACAAGTAAACAAGGACATCCCCACTGAGCCCATCAAAAAGGTACAGATTTTAGCAGATAGCCATGGGCAACAAATTGCCTCCCTGCTCAGAGGGAAACTCCCATCCAATTTCTCTGTCATGAGTGTGTTCAAACCTAAGGGGAGGTTTGCCGACGTGACCAGTGAGACACCCACAAAAAAACTCTCACCAAACGGGATACAGTCATCATCATAGAAGGGCAGAATGACATCAATTTGAGTGGTCACTTTACACCTGAACAACATGTCGACAAACTATAATGTGCCGCCCAAAACACGAACATTCTGCACATTCTGCACGAAAGTTCTGCAGAACTTTGTTTTCGGCCCAGAAGCTGCAAGCTCTGAGGATGCGAAATGATCATTAGTTGAATTAAAATATTGATACCTGACAATATCTCTATTTATTTATCATTATGTTCGTGTTTTGAGGAGGACTTTGTAGATGGTCAACATGTTGATCAGGTGTACAGAGACCACACATTCTGCCCTCCTGTAATGATGACTGTTTCCCGTTTGGTGAGATACTTGTGTGGGTGTTCAACTCTGATTACGTCGCCAAAAATCCCATTAGTTTTAAACACACCAGTGACAGAAGTTGGATAGGAGTTTCCCCTACTTAGCTGAGGGAAGATTTGTTACCCATGGTAATCACTTAAAATTAGTACTTTTTAAATGGCTCAGTGGATATTTTCTTGTTCATTAGTGGGCCAGGTTTCGCAATTCTACGTGTATTTGTTTGTTTGGTATTGCTAGTATGTTTGCGTTGGTTTAAGGAAGGACGTGTCGATTATTGGAAGAAGTAGATAGGACTGGGAAGTCACGGAATCTCAGTTTCAAATTCAAATATATAATTTTTTTTCCGTGCCCGATTTGTGATGGGGACTGAGGTTTTACTTTCGCGGACGGAAGATTACCTGAAGAAAATCTGTTTTCTGTCGTGATTGGTTCCGGTGGCTGTGTTTTTGCTTTCGCTGATGGACGGTTGGAAGGTTCTGCGGCGTTGTCTATTGTTGTCCAACCGTCTGTGTTGTGAACGACCTCTTCGAGCCTTCGGAAGTGTTCTAGTCTATTGTTCACGTGTGTGAAGGCTTTTAAAAGGTCGGCTTTTAAAGTGGAGAAAGTAGACTTTCAACTTTT